AGAAAGGGGGAACCGATTACAAGGATCTACATATAACCTCCTCCCTGGGGGATGGACAACAGAAAAGTGGGTGAAGGGAGATGTCGGACAGTGTAAGATATGACAAAATGATAATGATTTATGAATTATGGAGGGTTCATGAGAGAGTGGGGAATGGGGAGGGCGGGGGTAATGGGAGGTGATATTAAGGGCTACAGTAGAAAGAAAATGTTTTGAGAATGATGGCAACAAATGTACACATGTGCTTGACACAATGGATGTATGCATGGATTGTGATAAGAAATGTATGAGCCCCCAATAAAATGATTTTTTTAATTACAAAACAAAAACCAATAAATACTCAATGAGGGAAAAATGGAGAGGTCTAGGAATTATAAGGACTTAGACTTAACTAGGAAAAATCCCACTTTAAAATGCCTTTATTGTTGGACCTTACCCCTCCTTCTGACATTCACTTGTTCTATTTCACATTCATTCAGCATCTGAAAGTTGGTAACTGATGAATCTGAAATTATGTTTTAGATACTTCCAGTCATAAGTTTCTGGAGGGACAGGTATAAATCAATGACGTTGTTCAGAATGATTTGTGGTTGAGAGACATTTGGGATTTGGGTGAAGTATTATGGTATCACTTAAATGAAAACCCATCTACAGTGTCTTATTCTTCCCTTTTCTGCGTATACCAGTTAGGCAATGTGTATGAATAGATTCCAGGATCATTACTTTCAGATTTAATTTACTATTTTATTCCTGTTTTACTCTATTTTTCGGTAACATGTACAATTTTCATTAACATGCAATCTTTTCAATAGAACCCTCCAGGATATGTGGCTTAACTCTAAAGGCTGTGACTACGACTTCTGCAAATTTAACCTGGAGCCCAACAGAGACCAACTTCACTCACTACAAGATGGGTCTATCAAACGGAACGTTTACAAGAGAGTATCTTATCTGGGGAACTAAGACGGAGCACACAGTTACAGATCTAACTCCTGGGGGGATGTATAACATCACCGTGCATAGAGTAAGAGGCAATGTTGAAAGTTCTGGCACAGTTATCAGGGTTGTTACAGGTATGCAAATATTTTTTGATGTTTAAAAAGTTCACATTGATATTGCATAATGTGCTGTTCGGGCTAGAATTTCAGAGTCTTATGGTTTATAGACTAGTTCAGAGGATAAAAATAGTAATCTTACTGGGAAACTAAGAATTAGAGAGGTAACATGAAATATGTAAATTGTATGGAACAGTTTCTGGCATGTACTCAATGTAGCTACCATTGCACTCACTTCCAAATCACAAGAGAGATCTGACTAATAGGAAATTAGGTGGAAGATTTGGGAACTGTTTATTCTCCTGAAAGCATATTTTTCTTTGAGGTCTTACACCATGTGTACCCATAACCATGGGATATTTAGTGAGTAATAAGAATACACGGTTGGAGAGCCATGTAGCATAAAACAGCACAATAGGCGAAGCAATGAAGTATATTTAAACTAATTGTTTTACAGAGGTGGAATAATAATGCCACAGCATAGGTGGAGAAGGGCCCCTGATGTTGTTAATGCCCTAGAAATATCAGGAGTTTGCTTATCAGGCCTATGGGACATGTGGGGTATAGAGAAAGAAGTACTCCCAAGAGCGGGAACAGCCTCTGCAAAATTATGGAAGTGCACATGGAGACTGTGCATTTTTTAAATAACTGGACGTTCAATATTGCCGCATTTAGCCACAGTTTTCATACTTGAAAATAAAAAATTCTTAATTATGTAAAGCATTTACTTTGAAGTCCTTATGAAGCTATGAAGTCTATCAACACTTTAAATCCTTCCAGAGATCGCAAGTGCAACAACAGCTCATGGAAATGACTCTTAAGTCATCTTTAAGGTTGTGAAGGCTACAATTACAGGGGACCTTCCTTACATGCCTCTCACCCGTTGGACCCTTGCACTACCTTACTATTTTTGCTGTAACAATTACTACAAATTTAGAGACTTAAACAACACAAATGCATTATTTCACAGTTGTGAAGGTCATTACGCTTAGCTGGCAGGACTGTGTTCTTTTCCGGAGCTTCTAGGGGAAACCTCTTACCTTGGACATGCAGACTGCTGGCAGAATTCAGTTCCTTGTGTTGCAATATTTTCTTGCTGTTTGTGGACTGAAGACCATTCCTGATTTCTTGAGGCTGCCACAGCCCTTGGCATATTGTCCTCTTCTGGCATGTGGGGTCTTTATGAAGCAAATCAACTTGACACCACACAAGAACAATAAGATTTATATAAAATAGTACATATTTTTGGATGGATAGCTATGCTACCCAATCAAACACATTGAAATTGTATTTATTAAATGTTGTCTGCTATGAGTCAGAACCGGCTTGATGGCAGTGGGTTTGGGGTTTGGTATCAAAGTTTCAGTCCAAAGCAGAATTTATCACCTCGGCATTATTGGCTTTGAGGGCTGGTCTAGTCAGCCACTTGCCAGGTGCAGGATATTTAACGGCAACCCTGGCCTCTGTCCACTAGGGGCCAGTAGCATCCTCCCAGTGATAATTTTCTAACAATTTTGACTGCGACAATTTAAAAAATTCTAGAAATTGCCAAGGATTCTCTAGGTGGCAAAATCAACAATGGTCTGTGGGGAGCCCTGGTCTATGTACATGGACACAAAGCATTGGTCTCTGTGGATCGATACCTGCCATGCGCTCTCTCGGATGGACAGACAAATGCCCAGGACATCATGTGCGAGGTGCTCTCAGGCTGCACTCTCCAACGTGCAGCATTTGACAGTGGGGCGTCTCTAAATATAAGGAGCCTAAACGGAGCTGTGTTGTCAGTGCGAGATACACACTGGACTGCGAATAATGAGCATTTTGTCATAGTGTGGTGCCTTGCGTGCCACTGTGACAGTGGAAGCGCTGCCACCTGTATTTGAAATACCAGTAAGGGCACCCAAGTAGACAAGGTTTCATCAGAGCTGTCTATCAAGGGCAGACTACGCTGAGGGACCGGCTGTCTGCGTCCGAGGGCAAAGCCGATGAGCAGCGGAAGCACGTCGGCAGACTCGGTGCCAGAAGATGGCCTCTCAGATCGGAAGTCCCGCAAAGGGCCCCCAAGGAAGGGATGTCTCCTCAAAGCGCAGGCAACCACAATGACTCTCACGGAATACACTTTCGGAGACTTCCTTTGCTGATGGGACTTGAGTCAAAATGAGAAAATATAGCTGCAACATCTACGAGTAGCCAGAAGGTGGAATATGGAGTCTAGGAAAATCCTAAGTAATCAAAAATGAAATGGAACAAACACATAAAGATCAACATCCAATGCTTAAAAAAAACCCAAACGATTCTAGGAGAAATGTTTCAACAATTAAATGAAAAAGAATGTTAACTATCTCAATGGTGTTTATATGATAACGTTGAATGGGTCATTTTTGATACATTGGATATCAAAATATTTCAACATAATTTAATTAATAAAATTAATAACCAAAGTATTAAAATCAATTTTAACTGTTTATTTTTACACTTGTATTTGCTTACTAGAAAATTTTAAATTACATTGTCACACCTTTTTATGAGATAATACTGTTTTAGCGCAGGGTTGTCGAACTGGCAGCCTGAACCGCGGCAATTTTTTTGTGGTCCGCAATGCTCTGAAATAAAATGAAAATAGAAAAATTGTTGTGAAGAAAATAGCGCTTAGGGGGAGATGGAGGCAATACCGTACACACAATTCCCTGGTTAACCCTTTAACTACTGACGACGAGTAGACACGTGGCCCAGTGCCTTTCCTGGGGGCCTGTGGATGCACAGGAACGCGCTGACTCAGTTCCGGCGATGTGTGGAAGCCATGTGTCTGCGCCACTCAGTGTCACGTCATGTAAACAGGTCCCAATAGTGAAAAGGTTAAAAAGAGCGCTCTGGGTGGTGCTGTTATGAATCATACTTCGTGGCAGCGCTAGTTAACATTTTTAGAGGGAAGCCGTTATGATTGTGCATCACGTTTGTCAGCTGTCCAACATGTTGTGTTTCTTATAGTTACTTTGTTATATTTTCCGGTCACAACACAGAGGTAAATGAGAACTAGTAGGAGGAAAGCACTGGCAAGTTTGGGGTAAAAAAGAATAATTTTCGTTTCATAAATACATTAAATAAATGTTTACATAAGAGCAATTATATAGTGTTTTAATTATCCTATCCATATTTCTGAATCTTCACTTAAATATAAATTTAACAAAATTTGTAAATGTGACGTGGCCCACGTGAATCTTGCCTGTTGCACCAAATGGCCCGCGTTTTAACTGTGTTTGACACCCCTGCTTTAGAAAATCACAAAACACATTATAGGTAAAGCCTCAGACAGCTCTTTCAGTTAACTTATTTAACAAAGTTAGTTTGCTCACTGAACAACTATTTAGCTTTGAACCTATGGTGTTCTGAGAATTAGCTTTTTAGGAAATTCAGGTTTATAGTAACATTTTTACACTTCTTTTGCTACCCCTAATTAAGCTAAATGTGATGTGATTTTTTTTCTGTGACAACTGTAAGCCTATCTACGTCGTGATCTGATTTTTACTGGTGTGTGAAAATTACTGTCAGGGGAGTATGTTTGTTTTATATTTTTCAACCTTATGAGATATTAAATTCCTTGGAGTACAAATTATGTATTAATTATGGCTTCTTCTTTCAGTTAGTTGAACCTTCTACATCATACCCAAGAATCTGTTCTCTTCCTTCATGGTTTCAGCATTTCACTATCTTACTCTCTTTTTCCAAGAGCCCTGGTGGCACAGTGGATACACATTGGGCTGCTAACCTCAAGGTCAGAGAGGTTGGACTCTTGTAGAGAATTACAGTCTCAGAAACCCACCAGGGCAGTTCTCCACTGTCCTATAGGGCCACTGTCATTTGAAATCAACTCAATGGCAGTGAATTCTTCATCGCCTAATCTAACTGACCTCCCAGGGAGCCCCAGTCTATTTGCCAAGAGGCATTACCTTTCCTCACTTGATATTAGTCAATAGCTTCCTATTTCATTTAGGCTAATAAAATCTAAACTATTTTTATATGATCAACCTAGCTCCTTCTTTCTCACTCTATCCTGGAAACGGAGTCTAGCTTTCCTCAGTTCTTCCAAATTCTCTCCATTCCAGGGTTCCAGTCAGTTTGCTTTGAAAGGGTTTGGCCACTCAGGAAGCTTCTTTTTGTTCAGCCCTTCATTCCTTGCTTGAATTGCTATTTTCTCAGAAAGACTTTCCCTCTTGATCAGATTGGCAACTTTCCAGACAAATATATTCTTCCTCCTCTTGGTGAGACAAACTTCATCCCTCGCCAGGCGTCCGTCAGTGTGTAATTTTATAGCACAGTCTAGGAAAACTCATCCCAGCTTGGTAATCAGCGTTCCATCTTCTACCTTGTCCTTTATTTTCAAAGTCAGTCTCTCCCCTCTCCCCTCTTTGCTACTGAATCTGTTCCAACTGAGAGCAACCCTAGACGACAGAGGAGATTTCTGTGGATTTCTGCAATTGTACCTTTTTACTGACATAGAAAGCCTCCTTTCTCCTGAGAAAGTCTCACAGGAGGTCTATTTTAGTTCTTTGCCTAAGAACTCAAAAACAAAAGTGAAACTAACAAACAAAAACTACATTCCACTACCATCAAGTCAATGGTAGATAATAGCTAATTCCCTATACCCCACAAGACTAATGCTAGCTCTAACACAGTCCAGTAAGAGGGAGTAGCAGTGAATTGGACTGGACCCTCAGAGTAGACTTTTGTCTGAATTAATGTGGGATAGTGAGGAACTTCAGTTAGTTTATTCTGACAACAGGATACATGGAGTATAGAGCTATGCTTTTACTTTGGATTGATAACACTTTTATATGGCTGTGGGGAAACTGCAAGTACTGTGCTTACTTCGTGCACAATTTGCTAGTGATGCCATGAGAACATGTGTAACTGGAGATGTTGGAATATGAACAGCTCAACTGAAATTTGGTTAGGGTGCTTGATAAGAGGTCATTTTATAAGCATTAGAGGAATCCTCAAAGGGGGAAAAAGAGAAAAGAAACACCTAAAAATACTCTCCGAACAAATACTGAGAAATTGATATTTACTATTAAGATGTGTATCCCTGGTAATGGAGTTTTAAAATAACAAATGGAGTTGAGGAATTAAATTCAGAATCCTCTCTTTTGGAAAAAGCGTTAGTATGTGTTTTTCACATACTTTTGGCTCCACCTTTTCACCCTCCCCCAATATTGTTTGTCTGGAAACTGACCTGAAGCTAAGGCAAGTGAAACCCTGAGTCATTCACAACCAATCATTAGAACTTTAGGTAGAAAACTCCCTTCAAGGAGGCATGGGCAGCAGAAACAAAACTTAGAAAACAGTGAAAGTAAAGGTTTGGAAAAACCTAGTAGAAATGGTTACAAAATTAGTATTTATCATTTTTAAGTGGTCACATTTCAATCTAAAAATTTGTCTTTTCTAGTAAATGAATACCTAACCACATATTCGTCAGGAAAACTCACTGTGAAAAACAAAAGCTAGTAGATTTTAGCTATCTGTAACAGTTTTTCTTTTGTTTGGGAAATGCCCAAGTAATTACAATGAATCATTTGTTTTAAAGATAATTTGCATTTTCAGTTACAGCAAAAGGTTTCAAAAGAAATTGGTCAACTGACAGCCTTAAGCCAATAAGGAATATCTTAGAAAAAGACACGTAACATAATGTTATTCTGGTAATCATAACAGCTAAGAATCACTCAAGATACACAAGCCTAACACCTAAGTATGATTAGGGATAGTGTAAGTTGACGTTTTCTAACAATGTGATTATTTTGAAACTTGACCCTTAGAGCCTAGATTTTTCCCTTTGAAATGTTACACGGAGCATTCTGTTTTAAACCTCTGTTTTCTTATATCAGCACCAGAACAACCCGAGAAGCTCACAGCCTTCAATATTTCTGCACATTCCTTTTCTCTGCGCTGGAGCCTGCCCTCCGGCCATGTGGACAGGTATCATGTGGATCTTGTTCCTGACGGTGGCTTTGTTACTATCAGAGATCTTGGAGGTGGAGAGTATCAGGTATAGTTTTCGTTATTGAGAGCTTGCCAAGCCAACTTGTATTTATATTTGGTCCTAATAGGAAAGTCCTTTAGGAGATCCATCTACTATGAAAACTTAATCCTTTGAAGATTTTTTTTTAAGCATAAGATGAAGACAAAAACATCGATGATGAATTGCTGAGTATATGTTTCAGCATCAGTGGACTGTTACCTTAGCAACGACTATGCTTTTTTTTTTTTACGTCTACCCTGAACCTACAGCCCATCATCCAAGGGTTCATGAATAGTTTAACAAAGACAGGCAGAGCTATTGAGTAATCCAGGCTCGTTAATTGTGTACTTGCCAGGAGGAGCTGTCTTTAAATCATTCATGTAGGCAACATTTCTCTCTAGAGCCACCAATGTGATTCCACTGCCCGAAAAAATGTCATAACGATGGATTTTCTTATCATTTTCCTTTTACTTTTCATTGGAACTTCTGAGATACAGGTATTTAATTTACACTCTTGAAAGTCAGGGCTAAGCAATGGGCTATGTGGTTCCTAAGACTTTTAAATAGTTGCTTCTTACGGCAATGAACTAGACTAGATAAAACTATTGATTTAGCCTTTAAGAAAGCAGTATGCTTTGTAATTTTTATTACATGGTTTCAAATTGTTATATGTAGAACAAGTGTATTTTTAAAACAGTATTGAAATTTACTATGATATTTAAACAGTACAGAGTTATTATTGCTGTTGCTTTATTATTTTGAGGGCGATAGGTTTATATTTTTAAGCTTTTTGTATGTTTTTGTTTTCCAGAAGGAATTTTAACATAATTTTTTTTTTTTTTTGGTGTTCTAGGTTGATGTTTCCAATGCTATTCCTGGTACTAGGTACGATGTGACCATCTCTTCAATTTCTGCTACAACGTACAGTGCACCTGTCAGTAGAACAGTGACAACAAATGTTACCAGTGAGTATATGTTTTCAATTGTTTTATACATGAGATTTGTAGTTAGTGTAAACCTAACTGGGCGAGAATATGTATAGGGAATATTTCTGAAAGACAGTTAAGTATAATTAAGGTCATTTGAAAACTTCAGAAAATGACCTGTTTAGATCCCCTTTCTGGTTATCTAATTTCAAAAATAATTATACTTCCAGATTGTGAAACACATCAGAGACTGTTAATATTAACATTTAAGTAATATAGAACCCTATAAATATTAAACTCGGTACACTAGCTAAAATACAATTAGTTTGGAATACATTTCTTGATTTCTTAGTTGTGTGTGTTCCTTTTAAAAATGATTTGGCATCGAAGTATATTTGGTATGCAGTACTTAGTAGCATTCCATTTTTTACATTCTTACAAAAGAATGTTTCTGGTATTCCCTAAACACATTTAATCTTTTCTTTCTTTTTAATCAGGCTTTCAGGGAGGAAAACCTCATATTAAGAAACTATTAGTCTTTGGGCACTTCAAAAGTTGACATCTGAAAATTCTTTTCTTACATATTACTGTGAAAAAACATTTTTTGACCTGTCAACAAAAAATAAGGGTTTTTTTTGTGTGTGTTTTTTTTTTAAATAGAACCAGGGCCTCCAGTCTTCCTAGCAGGGGAACGGGTTGGATCTGCTGGGATTCTTCTTTCATGGAATACACCACCTAACCCAAACGGAAAGATTATATCTTACATTGTGAAATATAAGGAAGTCTGTCCATGGATGCAGACTGTGTATACACAAGTTAGAGCAAAGCCAGATAGTCTGGAAGTTCTTCTTACCAATCTCAATCCTGGAACAACATATGAAATCAAGGTAATTTTGTTCATTTTAAAGAGAAAAGTGCTTTTCCACCTGGTCAACCCTTGATAGCTGAATGTAGCAAGGGTGTACCAAGTCACAGCCTCACTCCCACTTGGGCTTTTAAAACTGGATCAAAGCTTCTAATCTACTTTAATCGAAATATTATCTATGTCTATATAATTTATTATAAAATTGTTAGCTTAATAGCTTTTTTGAAAAGTGAAATAAGTTTAAATGACATGTTTTCAGCTTAAGAAATGAAAATATTCTACTTTTTGATTAAAACCATGTTAGCCTTGTTATTTTTCTATAAAGCCTGCTATATTTGCATGACGGTTAATTTTTATTTTAGACAATGCTTTAGAAATATATAAAAAACAGTTTATCTAGGAAAGATAAGTTCAACAAATATTTCTTGAGAATGTACTGTTTTCTATACTTATGAAAATTACAGTCTTTTACAGTCTTAAATATTTAAAATTTCAAAACATATCATTTGGATATTGAATAACGATGACTTGCACACATAGAGATACAACCCAATCTTTTTAAAAATTAACAATTTTAAATTTTAAATTAGGTAGGGATTTACATATTAGGTCAACATTTTCTTTGAGAATTAAAACTCCTAACAAACGCCAATAGTTGATCCTTCGCCCACTCCTTGATTTCTTTTCTCCTCTCTGTGGACTACTATCCACATTTCACCCAAATAAACACCCATCAACAATCTAGCTGATTGCTTTACCCTGCCCACTTCCTCCCACCTTGGTAGTCTCAAAAGTATGAAGGCCTTTACCTTGACCATTCCCCTCTTGTATCGGTGTACCAGTACAAGATTTGCTTTTTGTGACGGTAAATTTCACTCAGTACACTATTCTCCGGGTCCATCCATGACAGGAGCTGCTTTATTGTTTAGTCTGTTTCCCCCTAATGTGTGCACAGTGTTCATTATACAGAGTTTCTTTCTCCGTTCTTCTGCTGATAGACAGCTAGGTTGTCTCCTTCATCTTCCTACTGTGAACAGTGCTGCGATGAACTGGTGTGTGCCCACGTCTGTTTGTGTTATGACTCTTCCTTCTTTAGGATATATACTCAGCAGAGGGATTGCTGGTCTGTATGGGATTTCTGCGCTAGTTGTTTGCGGTAGTGCCTTATCACTTGCAACAGTGGATGTCTGTATTTACACTCCCACAGCAGTAGATGAGGGTTCCAGTCTCTGCAGCCTCTCCAGCATGTGTTCTTTCTTTAGCTTGGATGTCATTATCAATGGAAGGTTTTGATCGCATCTTCTTGCTGGCTCGTGACTGTGAAAATTCCTTCAGATGTTGGCTGGTCATTTGGATTTTATCTTTGGTGAACTGGCTGTGCATGGCTTTTGCTCAATTTTTAATTGAGTTATTCATCTGCTTCTTATTGAGGTGTTGCAGTTTTCTCTAGACTTTAGTGATTATTCCCTTGCCCGTTTTTTCCTTGGTCAACCAAAAAAATTTCCCACCCTGTGGGTTCTCTTTCTATTCATTTCATGAAGTTTTTTGATGCACCTAGTATCTTACTTTTAGTAGGTTTCAGTCATCTATTCTTACTATCTGCTGACAAACAAACCAAACTTAGAGTAATTAAATCAATACAAAATTATATACAATTAAGATATATCTGTGTTATCTCCTCATTCATTTAAAAAATACATCATGTTTGGTCAAGTAAAAGTTTAGTGAAAAAGAGGAAAACCTTCAATAAGATGGATGGTTGCACTAGCTGCAACAATGGGCTCAAACAGACCTGCAATCAATCATGAGGATGGTGTAGGACAGGGCAACATATTTGTCTATTATACATAAGGTTACTATGAGGCAAAATAGACTAGACAGAAACTAAGCACAGATTTTCTTAGTCATGCTTCAAGCCTGGGATGGAACTGACATCAGTAACTCAACTTTCAGCCAAACAAAAGACAGGGCTTTAAGGCAAACAATCACACTAGGGGGGTAAGCACTGCTTAGAACAATCAGCCACAAGAGATTCAAAGAGCACCATTTGTCCAGGGATCGAGAGCATAAAGCAGGAACAGATAGGAAAGACGGACTAATGGAAACAGGAAACACAGTGAGGAAGAGGAAAGAGTTCTGTTAGACTGAAATCAATGTCAGAAAAAAAATGTGGATTATTGAGTGGGAAACCAATATGCTCTGTAAATTTACATTCAAGTCACAATAAAAAGTAAGGGGGGAAAGGAATATTCCTGGGAGATACTAGAGAATATAGATTTTGGGTCCTATATATTTCCAGCATGACATCAGTATGTTTTTGAACCTTGAATATAACTGCATAGAGAAAACAGTTTTTTGAGAACTTTTATAACTGTGTTCACCCAAACTGAGATGATTTTCTAGACAGTCAGAAGCAATGGGCAGCATTTTCTAGGATATTTTTTTCCTAATTTCAAATGTGGCCACTGGCTAAAATAAAGAGCACACACAGTCAAAACTGGAGAACATAAATCAATAGTAAATATTCTTCAAAAAAAAAAAGAAAACGAATAGAAACTTTAATAATGCAGAGATCAAGAGCAAAGATTTCTGACGGCCATTTCACTACAAAAACTTTGGTTAGAGAGCAGGCAACCTTTTCCTAACTTGGAAATTTATATAGTTCAGTTATTTTACAAAAACATGTACATTTTCAATTATGTTTATATGCTAAAATATACTATCAGGGCATAACTTTGAAATGTTAAATTTGATTTGATATAAGGAACTGTTGCTGGTAGGAAGTTGATTTAGTTACTAGTTCTGCTTAGATCTATCTTTATGGAGTTTGAATTTTTTCTACTTTCATTCTCTCATTTTAATCCTGTAGGGAAACCTCTGCACACCCTTTATACCACACTTTATCCATCACTGCTGTGACCTTTATTCTGTTCAAATGTATGTTACAGTGCAAAGGAGTGTACGGCTTGGTACATTTGGCATATTCTGTATAAATAATACAAAAGGGGGGTGTTGTTAATTACTTTATATATATTAAGGGGGGGATGTTGCTAATTACTTTATGTATATTATTCAAGTTAATTTTCCAAACAGGCCTGTGGATGAGATACATTATTATTCCTATTTTAAAGATAAGGAAAATGTGACTTAGAACAGCTAAGCAAATTACCCCAAGCCTGTCTTCTAGGAATTAGTTGAGCTATAATTTAACACAAATAGCCTAACTTCAATTATGACACTTGTAACTGCTTAAGATTCTTATCTTTAAGTTATCATAGGGTTAAGGTCTAATATCACCAAAACCTCTTATAGCTCTTGGTCTAAATAGCCACCAGGTTATGTTGAGTAAAAGTCTAGATTTTATTGATGCAAATTGATATAGCACCATCATTCTACTGAGCTCTCACTGGTTCAGCCCCACTTAGGAGAGGGCAATGACACATAAAAATACAGAGGATGAATATCGTTAGAAGTTTGGATGGGGGTAAGGTGATAAAAAGAAAACTATCTATATAGCTAGAGATAGAGATATATACATGCAAACCTGAAAACCAAATTCGTTGCCATTGACTGGATTCTGAGTCAATCCTATAGAGCAGAGTAGGGCCGCCCCTATGCGCTTCTGAGCCTACAAATCTTCATAGGAATAGGAAGACTCAAGTGTTCCCAAAAAAGTGACTGGTGGTTTCAAACTGCTGGTTTTGTTGTTAGCAGCCCACTGAGTAAGCTAAGCTACCTGTGCCAGCAGTGTGTGTGTGTATGTGTGTGTGTGTGCTTGTTTTCTGTGAGCTAACTTCTTACCAATCAGCAGCCACACTTCTGGTCATTTCCTACTAAAATATAAGCAACATATTTACTTGATATATAAAGGATACATACTATATATACACAATAATAATATAAGGACATATTATTGCATATGTATATTAACGTGCATTTGTAATATATATAACACATACACATTATATAATTTTACATGTTAAGGAAATGTAGTCATTATGTTTTATTGGGGAAATGACCAGAAGTCTGGCTGCTGATTGGTATGAAGTTAGCTCATTGAAAAAAATTGAGAGTCTCCTTTTGGTATCCTAATGTTGTAGTCATCCCAAGACTAGAGAATATTCTGGTTTGGGTTCAGATAGACGGTAAAGTCCTAAGATTTCTACGTATGTGTCTCAGACTATCTCCCGTCCAAACATCAGGTCCTTTTCTACAAGATGACGCCAATGTTTTATTTCTTTGTATGTCTTTTTGTTTTGTTTTGTTTGTGATTCGTTAGCACAGAGGCTCATAATCCCAGATTTTCCACAAAATGTACAAATCAAGAGCTTTTGCACCTATGAAAGGAGAATGCCTCGTCTCTCTCCCATGGAGTGGCTGGTGGGTTTGAACAACTGACTTTCAGTTACCAGAGGGCTCCTGAAATGGGTGTTAAAAGATTGTATCAAATGCTTTTTCTGCAACAATTGAAATGATCATGTGGTTTTGTTCTGTGTTTATTTAAGTAGTGGATTTCATGGTTTGATTTTTTTAATGTTGAACTATTTTTCCATAATTGGTATGAAGTGTGTTTAGCCATCATATATTATTTTATATTGGCTGTGGAATTCTATTGCCTAGGGTTTTATTGTTAATATTTGAATCTATACTAGTGAAGGATAGTGTTCTCTAATTTTCCTTTTTAGTGGTATCTTTGCCTGGCTGTAGTGTCAAGGTTAGATGGCGTCAGAATTAACCAGGACGATTTTCTTCTTTTTCTGTGTTCTGGAATAGTTAGATTAGGATCGATGTCCACTTTCCCTGAGTTTTTGAGAATTATCTAATGAAGCTATTTGTGCTGGAGTTTTTTCTTGTTATTTTTGTTTTTGTTTTATGAGTCCTTAAGTTCTTCTCCTAGGAAGGAGTCTGTTCAAATTCCTACCTGTTCATGAAAATTGGTCGATTTCTATGTTTTCTAGGTTTTAAAATGTGTTGTAGTAATTTTCTTTATAATATTCTGTTATGACCCTTTGATAGCTCTGT